GTGCTACTTCTAGGAACGAGGCAATCCACTGCCTTGGGGTTAGTCATAGGGGATATTACATCTCATATATTTTTTTCAAAACATAATTATAAATTTATGAAAATGTTTATATTTTTACTTTTTAATATTTATAAAGTTTATTATTAATGTGAAAATATTTTTCCATAAATCCACTGAAATGAAATTACCCCTTATACATATGGAGCATTTGACATTTTTTTTAATATAAATTTTTATAATTAAATAATTATATATTTTTTAATTAATTGACGTGACATAATATAATAAAATTTTATAATTTAAAATAAAATTTAATACAATAATATAAGAATAAATTACACTAATCTATGAGCTTCGTAAGTTTGTAATAATTCATCACAACATACAAAGGTTGTTGAGATCAAATATTAACGTTATATTTAAATTATAAATTTAAATAATGATTTGGAAAGAAAAAGATAAAATAAATTATGCTATTTTTTTTTTCATTTTCATATCTCTTCGCAAATTCTTATATAAATCCATTATCCAAATCTAATATGAAAAAAAATCAATTTGGTTTCAGTTTTCTGAATTCAGTTTTTTGAAAATTGAGTATTTTGTTTTTCGTATTTTTTTTTAATTTTTAGTGAATCTTTTTAAAAAAAATTTAAGCAATTTTTTTTAACCTTTTTAGATGCACCTCAATTAGATGTACCTAAATAATAAAACATTAGTTTATTTTTTAAAGATTTTTTTCACAAATATTATACTTTTTAAGTATATTTATGTTAGGTGTGTCTAAAAATTAAAAAAAAAATTGATTAAAATATTAAAAAATTTCATTGAAAACATTAAAATACGGAAAATAAAAAAGTAAAATTTTTTGAAAACTATTTTCTAAAAACTAGAACCAAACAAAGTGAGATATAATTACGTATTATTTATGATACTTTAGTTTATTTTTTGAAACTTTAAGAGAGGTTTTATTCTAAATTTATGAGACAACTTGTAATTTTTCTAGACTTAGTAGATAATCGGTGTAATTTAGTTAAAATACAATGGGCAGAGCTTCTCTCTAAGTGTTGTTGGGCCTGTGAGACCTACCATTGGTTCCATTTTGATCAATGATGGATCTAGGGGGCAGCCGCACCCCTAAAAATTTAAAAAATATCATATATTATATTAGAAATTTTAAAATAATTTAAAATTATAGGAGTTCGCACCCCTAATTTTTTTTAGATAATTTCAAAATTATATAGAGTAGCCCCCAATTTTTCAAACTATAGATTAACCCCCCAAAGTCTCAATCCTAGATCCGTCCTTGATTTTGATGATTCAAATAATTCAATGTGTAGAGTTTATCGAATACTTTATCCTTACAAAAAATCACGTTATAGAATATCGATAGCCTCTTGATCATATCATATTTTGTCAATGATAAAAATGATTTAAATAATAAATTGTTGATAAAAACGTTTTATGATCAAATATCTATCAATATTCGATTAACGTGATTTTTTATATAAATAAAATATGTAACGAATTTTACATATTGAACAATTTTAATTATTAAGATAAGACCCGTAGTGCGGATCGAATGACACTATCCAGTTCAATCGAATGACACTATGCAATTCACAAAGGGTGTGTTTGATTGGGGGGTCAGGGAGAGATTATTTACTGTTTGGATTGCTTATCCGAAGGAGTGAGTAATTTATCGTTTGTTTATTTTAGTCTACCGAACATGAAGTCCGGCCGAACTCCTTATCCCCCCATATAGGGGATTATACTATCTCGAGGGGGGGTGTGAGATAATTTTGGAGAGACTATTTACTGTTGGGATTAGGTGGTAAAATGACCATTTTGACCCTCTACTATTTAATTATGTACTATATTTAGTAAAATTTAATAAAATTTAAATGTCTCAATTTAAAAATAAAATAAATTTATTTAACTTTTTATTGATGTTTTATTTATTTATTTTTTAAATAATTTTTCTATAGATATTTTATTGGTGTTTTATTTTAAAATTTTATTTATATTTTATTTAATTTCATTATTTAAATGTTAATAGATGTTTTATTTAATTTCATTGTTTAATTATTATTATTTTTAAAAACCAAATTATTTAAAATTTTAATTAAAAAATAGCATATATTTTTATTGATATTTTATTTATTTAATTTAAAAAAAATTATTTAATTGTGTAAAAAATAAAGTAAAATAAAATTTTATTTAATCTAGCTAAAAATAATTAAAATATTAAAGATATGTTTAATATTGCTATTATTTAGTAAACAATTGAAAAAAGGGTAAAATAGTCTTTTGTTTATTTATCCTATCCAGTCCGTCCAACCAAACATTGGATTCATAAAAAATAGTCATTTCCAGACATCTAATCCCATGAAAAAACAAACACATGATACATATCCAATCCAAGCAAATGGTCCAGGGGATTCACAGTCCTAGGACTCAAGTTCGATGGATTCTAATATTCCCTCATCCAGTTTGTCCAATCAAAGGGGGAATTATTCACTGTTCGGATTGCTTATTCGAAGGAGTGAGTAGTCCATCGTTTGTTTTTTTTTTAGCCTGCCGGACATGAAGTCCAGCCGGATTCCTTATCCTCCATATGAGGGATTATATTATTCTAGGGAGGCGTGTGAGACAATTTTGGAGGGACTATTTACTGTTGGAATTAGTTGGTGAAATGACCATTTTGACCCTCTACTATTTAATTATATATTATGTTTAGTAAAATTCAATAAAATTTAAATGTTTCAATTTAAAAATAAAATAATTTTATTTAACTTTTTATTGATGTTTTATTTATTTATTTATAAATATTTTTTTATAGATATTTTATTAATGTTTTATTTTAAAAAGTTGTTTATATTTTATTTAATTTCATTATTTAAATGTTAATAGATGTTTTATTTAATTTCATTGTTTAATTATTATTATTTTTAAAAACAAATTTATTCAAAATTTTAATTAAAAAAATAACATATATTTTTATTGATATTTTATTTATTTATTTTTTAAAAAATAAATTTATTTAATTGTGTATAAAATAAAATTTTATTTAATCTAGCTAAAAATAATTAAAATATTAAAGATATGTTTAGTATTTTTATTATTTAGTAAATAATTGAAAAAAGGTAAAATAGTTTTTTGATCACTTATGCTATCCAGTTCGTCAAACCAAACGTTGGATTTATTAAAAATACTCATTTTCATACATCTAATCCCATGAAAAAACAAATACATGATACATATTTAATCTAACAAAATAAGTCGGGAGATTCACAGTCTCAGAATTGAAGCCCAATAAATTTTAATCATTTTTTATCCAGTCCGTCTAATCAAACACATTCAAAGTGAATTGGGAAAAGTCTTGCCCTAATATAATAAATGTTACATTAAATTAATAAATAAAATTTATTTTATTGGGTCCAAACCGCTCCAACCTTTATCCAAGCCTAAAACTGCCTAACGGCTGTTTGTACACTGGCCCATAGTAATGACTAGTTGCCTTGATTTGTGGTGGTTGGTAAGCTTGTCTTAAAATCTAATGATCGTTTTATTTCAAATGCAATTTTCTTATACATTTTTTAAATTATAGCTTTGGTTTAAGGTGTTATTTGGCAGTTTTTATATTAGCGTATTTTTTTTTTATTTTTTTATTTTATTTTTTTAAATCATATTATTTTTTTATAGTAATTACTAGTGGCCATGATTTATGGTGGTTGGTAAGCTTGTCTTCAAATCTCATAATCATTTCGTTTGAAATGCAATTTTCTTGTACATTTTTTAAATTATAGTTTTGTTTTAAGGTGTTATTTGGCATTTTTTTATATTAGCATATATTTTTTTTTATCTTTTTATTTTTTAAATCATATTATTTTTTTATATATTTTTTAAAAAATTTAAAAATATATTTATTTAAATCATTTCAAATACCCTCTAAATTTGAAAAATTAAAATAAAAATAAAGAATGATACAAGTCCACTTCTCCCGGCGCATCTCAACTTGACCAAAGGATAACCACCTTATTTTATTTAGTTTTTAAAAACATTTTTTTAAAAACTTTTTACTTTTTTTTTTTTTTTTTTAATCTATGCAAGTTAATCTACCCCTACACCCAACTATAAGTGAAGATTGAAAGAAGAACTATACAAATCTAAACCAAAAAAAAAAGATTTACCTTAAAATAGTGAAGAAAGAGAGAGAAAGAATGGAGATTAAATTTTAAAATTTTATACATAGGTCATTCATTAATATATATTGATTTAATAATTATAATTACATAATTTTATAATATTTATTTTTATAAAAAGATTAACAACATATTTTTAAAATTATACGTATCATTTATTTATTTTAATGACAAATGTAATGAAATTATAATTATTAGATGAATTTGATTTTTTCTTTTATGGACAACCAAGAAGAATTATTGTGAGATTTACTTATTTTGTTTAGTTTTTGATTGAGTTTTTTTAAGTTTCTTCATTAATATTTTATTTTTTTAATTTTTTTTATAAATTCTTTATTTTTTTAAGTACATTTAAAAAGTAAAAAAATATATATACAAAAAATTATTAAAGACAAAAGAATATGAAAAGTAAAAATATTTAAAAATAAATATTGAGTTTGAAAACTAAATAATATTTTTTTTATATTTTAGTCTATGGATGTAGGTTGACTTTTTAACTTTTTAATTTTTTTTACTATTTTAACTTGGGGTTAAAAAGTCTCGTTTGAAAAAAGATTTTTTAACTTTTTAAAATTTTTGTAAAAAAAAAAAAATTATAAATTTAACGTAATATTTTATCCTATTAAATTAAAAAGTTTATTTTACCTTTTTTAACTAAAACAACCCCAAACTCAATCCAATCCTTCCTTCCAAAACGATGCCTAAATAATTTAGTGTCACGACCGTTACCGTTGAGGTAGAAGAGCAAACAGAATTCTGAAGTAAAATGGACGTTACCGAACCTATCTAGCAGCTTCGTTTACTCGTCCGAGCCTTCGATTCGGACACGCCATACCAGTGATTCATCGGTGTATCTATATAGCTGTATATATTTATTAATCCACAATTTTCTTCTCTCTCTCTCATCGATTTCGAAGAAGGCCTCACGACTTTCTCAAAGTCTCCTTCAATAGCCTCTCAAACGCGATTGAAACAAAAAAATTGCATTTACAGGTACTTTCAATTCGATTTCCCTATTTATCTTCCTTTGATTACGTTCTCAATATTGGATTTTCCTTCAAATTCCCATCGTGATCGTGAGTTTCTTGGGTCAGATTGAATCGATTAGTCCACATTTGTGTTTTGTTTATCCCTTTTTGAGTAGTGGGTTTTTTTTTTGATGTCGGAAAATGCTTGTTGTTGTGCTGTTTGGTTGCTGAGAAACCGGAGGAAAATTGTTTTGTTGGTAGAGTGACATTTTCCCTGGATTTTCTCGCAACCAAACACAGAGCCTTGAGGGTCAGGGGAAACTTGGGAATCTTTCGAGGAGGAAATTCAACTACAGATTTTTGTAAGATTCAAGTTTGGTTGCTAAGGAAAGGAGGAGAATAAATTAAATTAGTAATATTTTTGATTATCTTCGATTTACTGATTCTGATTATCAAAATTCTTTCCTTTGTTATTATCTAAAAAAAATACTTTCCCTTGTTTGGTATCCAAGAAAAAAAAAGAAGAAGCCTTTTCACTTAACTGAGCCTAGTACCCCCATTTGGCTTGCTTGTCCGTTTGATGCCATGACATATATAATGAAGTTGTGATTATAATTAAATCACCTACAGTAGAATCAGTGAATTTTCAATCACTGTAGGATTGCAACCGTGGTCAACTTTGAATATTTACCGATTTGCCTCAATTATGGATGAATTAATTAAACATATTTAGGATGATATTCCATGGTGATGATATTATTTTAGTGGACGAAACTAAGGGTAGAATTAACACTAATTTAAAAATATGGAGAAGCGCTTGAATCAAAAGGATTTAAAATTAGTAGAACTAAGAGGAATAGCACCAACTGAAGATAAGTTGAGAAAGAACATACTAAAAAATTTGGTTATGTACAATGAAGTATAATCATCATAAATGGACATGTTAGGAGGGAAAGATATAAGCAGGCATGGGATGGTAGTGAAAAAGGATATGCATTTATTCCATTAATAGAACATATAGCCCTTAACAAAGTAGAATGGCAAAAAAAATAAAAAAATTCATCTAGTTGACTCCACCTGATTGGGGGGATACAAAGCTTAGTTTGATATTAAATCTCATTCCATTTCTCTTCAAATCTTTCTACTTTATAGACATTCAAAAGTGGGCTATTAGGGGTTATGGGTTCTCTCCATTCCTCCTAGATTATTGAAACATGTGATTAAGGAGGAGAGTCTTCTCTTCTTTTCTCTCCTACCAAACATGGCATTAAGGTAAAAAGAAGAAGATGCTAAAACTAAAAAGTTTAAATTCTTTTATTTGTAATTATTTAAATTGTTTGGTTTTAATGGTGCCATGAATGTTATCTTTGGTGAATCAGGATTTTTTGCCAATAATAGTAATGTCAGACCATCTGGTTTTGTGCGTTGACCGCCTCATCACATCTGAATCATTGCAATCACTACAAGGGGCTGAGGTCTCAGGATCATCCTCCGGAGAGGGTTCTTATTCTCACATGACTGATCCATCCTCCTCTATTGATATGAAGGATGGGGAGGAACATGATGAAGCTGATGAAGAAGAACCGCTTATTCAAATGGTGGAGTGCCGCATTTGCCAGGAGGAGGATAGCATCCAAAATCTGGAGACACCTTGTGCTTGTAGTGGTAGTTTGAAGGTATATTCTCCTGAAAGTTTTTAGGTGCTGATTTTGTTGGTTGTCCTGTGAGTTGTGTGCAATTGCGTATATTGCTTCAGTCTCACCAGTTTTTTTGTTAGCTTTGACTGTCTAGCTATGTGTGAATTCTTCTGTGGGCATGGTTGCTGTCAACTTGGTAATAGTACTAAAAATGATGACTTCTTCCACCTGTTTTCTTTTGCAGTTGGATACATTCAAATGCATTAACTTTTTACCATTTTTTTTTTTGAAACAAAAGCATAACTATAAATTAATGAAACAGTAGTACAAGGTCTAAGAACAGAAACCACTCTGGGAGATGCAAGCCCCAGTTGATAAGAAAGCAAAACATGATACAAAAACTGTGGTGTAGCTGTATACAAAATAAAACCATCTTGGGCTCTTGCTGCACCTGATTGGCTTGATGATCAGGTTGCCATTTGCTTTTGGTATATATTTAGTTTGTCGTAATTGCCTAGGTTATTGCCAAGGTTGAGGCAACAGATGTGTAATGTGCACTACATCATACTAACATGTGAAAAATTTATATTTTTATAAATTTATTGTATGTCAGATATATGAATACTTTATTCATAAGCGAAGAAAAAAGAAACATAACACTAATGAAAATTAAAGTCATATATTCTATAAACATTAAGATATCATTCACGAATCACGTAACAATTGTATTATAAGGAATGCAAAATAATCGTAGAATACTAAAATACACATGATGTATTCATCTTATAAATAATTAAAAACATATTTAAAGTGCATAATTTCCATTCCAATAGAGTGTCCACGTAGTGTTGGTGTCCAGCACGAGTGTCCATAGAGGTATCCGTGCTTCTTAGATCCCAAGTCAAATTTATGATGCCTAGACACCATGATCTTTTTTTTTCTAAGGTGAATATACACCATGATCTTTCATTTTGCCTATATTTAATTATCCAAATTGTAAGGTTTTACACATATATGAGTCACAATCAGCTCACCTTAGTACAAGAATGTTTTCTTTTGTTGATGGTTAACAACTTTGTTCGTCCAGTTTGCTCATAGGAAATGTGTTCAGCGTTGGTGCAATGAGAAAGGAGATATAACTTGTGAGATCTGTCACCAGGTATTGCTACTTTGCTTCTTTGCGACCTTTATTGCTATCTTCATTTTCTTCTTCTTCTTCTTATTATTATTATTAGGGTAAATTACAAATACACCCCTTGAGGTTTGTTTAAAATACGAGTTGCCTCCTGTGGTTTGGAAAATTACAAACTCTCCGTCAGAATTTTTTATTTAACAGAATTAATTGAAAAAGTGAAATTTTTAACTGTTCACCTATACAATAATAAAATTATTTGAATTATTAATTGAAATAAAATTTTAACATTATTAAAAACTATTAATTAACTTGATGATTTATTAATAAAAAGGCCTATTTGTTATGAAATTAGAAACCTTAGGGAGCATAATGTAATTTCTAGAACCACAGGAATAATTTGTAATTTAAGTAAATCTCAGGGGGTGTGTTTGTAATTTATCCTTATTATTGTACTGCAACTGCTTAAATTCTTTCTATGTTTGAGATATATATTATTATGGGTTTTCATACATTCATGAAAATGGTCTACTTGTTTAGTTTCAAAAACTAGCATGGTTGTATACTTGTCATTTGTCTTGGTGATTCATAAGATAAGTTGTGGTGGTATGATGGACAATGACAATAGGTTTTGCACTAATATGAAATTGATTCAGATGATGTTGTGTAACATGCCAAGTACAAATCTATCTATGAACTTTGTATAACAGATGCCAACACATCTTGTTCATTTAACTGTAGGCATGCTTGATGTCATGTAGTTGGTTAGGACACATGAATGGATGTCTTGTTCTGCTTCCTCTTTGTGATGTAGTCAATAATTGCCTCCTACCCCACTCTACATAGAAAAGAGAGGGGGAAAGGAAAAACAAAATTGCTTCATTGAATGCATGCCCAGGTTGTTTATTTTAGTAAATCACATATATATTCTCTTCATTCCTTTTTCTTTTAATGAGTTTATGTTTTCCATACAAATTTGAGTCGTTGCATCATGAATGCTTCCTGAGTCCAAACTTTGGCATTTTCCTGTATTTTCTGACAAGTTTTTTATTTTTATTTTATTTTATTTTTATGAGTTGAATAATCAATTAGCATATTAACGTATTGAGCAAAATGTTCTCCGACATACAGCCTTACCAACCTGGTTATACTGCCCCACCACCTTCTCCTGGCTCTGATGATACTACCATTGATATCAAGTAAGTTTAAGTTCATATTCTTCTGGCCTAACTTTCATGTTTTTGATTAATGATTTTGATATAAAAAATAGTCAATTAGTCCAAGCTTGGGCTGTTAAGAATGAAACATTGATTTTGAGCTTAAGAGCAACTGCTTTTGTGAAATTAAACTCCAATTTGTCTTGTTCTTGACAACCACAAAATGCCCTAGAATCATCAATCTATTTACATGGTTGCTTTTCGTTCCTTTTTTTCCACCTCCATAAATTACTGTTGAAACCATCATAGTCAGGACAGAGATTGCATAATCATATGCTTCAATATTGATTCCTTTGTTTCATGGTTTTGTCTTACAGTGGGGCTTGGACAATCTCTGGCTCTCCTTTGGACTTGCGTGACCCTCGAATTTTGGCTATGGCAGCAGCTGAACGACATCTTCTGGACGCTGATTATGATGAATATGCTGATACCAATGCAAATGGCGCTGCATTTTGCCGCTCTGCCGCTCTGATTGTAAGTTGTTGTAACCATTTCATTCGCAAACAGAAATAATGTGGGCTACTAGGAAAGATGGACAATGTTTATACTTTTGAAAAAGTGATTTTATGTAGGAAAATGCTAATGATGGCCCAAAGCCTTGGTGGACGTGTAAAAAGTGTATCGAAATGTGTAAAAAGTACCTGGACATTCCAATTTTTTTGGCATTTTCTTCCCTCTGTTGACAGCCATTGGGCTATCATTAGCATGACCCTTTTATATATATGCATGAAGGGTTCATTATTATTATTATTATTATTTCTTTTGGCTACAAGGGCAGTAATGATATGGTACTGCAACGTACTATCCTTTCTAAGAGCAACTTCACTTGCCATTGTCAAAATGGCAATGCCAAAGTCATACTTTTGCATGCTACAGTCCAAAAAGTCGAATTTTGGCAATGTTTACTCCATTGGTGCAAATGCCATTTTGGCACATCCAGACTATTGCATATTTGTGTCTGTTGGATGTCTCACATCCAGACCATTGGATCAAAATCCTCTCTTGGGTGAGTTGAGTGGAGTTTATACAATTTGGCACAAGGTTTGGCCATCCCAATTTTTGAAGGTGTTTTTTGTGGAACTCCTATAATTTAGCAATAGTAGCCTGTTGGAGTTAACAAGTGGTTTGGAGATTTGTTCTTAGATAATATAGTTGATGCCATTGTTAACTGTTCCTTGTACCTCCAAACCGCTTGAGCCTTAAAAGAGAGCAGCTCATTAGTAGGAACATATAATCTACATTATGAGCCTCGAAAGAGAGCAGTTTCCTTTCAAATCTTCAGAACTTTTTAGATGATCTTATTTTGGAAATTTTAAAATCCTGTCAATTTTCTTTTTTTTTGGCCTTTTTGTCTTCTTGTTTTTTTCTTTAATAATGTTAGAATTTACCATCACCTACCACCACTACCACCTCACCTACTCCACTAAACCTAACCCACTACACCACTATCACCATCCACTACACACCATCCACTACACCTACATCTATATAAGGAACCATTTTGTAATAGATTTGTAATAGACAGAAAATATCAACATACAACAATCAATAATACAATTTATTCTCTCTCTATTTCTCTTTGTACATTAAATTTTACAAATAAATTGTTTTTTCTTGGCTGATTTAGGTTCATAGTATCTCTTTCTATATTTCTGTTTGGATTTCATTGGTCAATTAATTTCAGTTCTCATTTTACCTGGCCATTTATATTTTAAATATTTCTCTATTTCTTGGCAGTTAATGGCTCTTCTACTCTTGAGGCATGCTCTAACCATTGGCAATGGTGAAGATGACGATGATGATGCTTCCACCTTTTTCTCAGTAAGTGGGATGTGTTGTCAGCTTGTCTTGGCATTATATAGATAATTAGCTATCCATATGTTTTTTGTGGTGGCACTAAATAAAATTGATGATTCTGTACAGCTTTTCTTGCTGCGGGTTGCTGGTTTTCTTCTCCCATGCTACATTATGGCCTGGGCTATCAGTATATTGCAACGTCGAAGACAAAGACAGGTACTAAGAGACTCATTCACAATAGCTCGTTTCCTTTTTCCTTTTCTTCTTTGAGCTTCATTTCTTCGTCCTCAGAAAAAATGATGAAAATATTTTCATGATCCCATTATGGTGAGGTAATAACAATATGGTTGGTTACAGAAAATGATTATTTATTTATTTATTTGTTTAATAGTCACACTAAACCAATGAGCATAAGGATGAATATAGACATAAATTTTGTTGTAATATATAACACAAAGGTTATCCATTGTTTCCTCACAAGAGAACGATCCTACTTCATACACATGATGGATTTCATGAACATGAGTTTAAATTATCCTCTCATAGGAACCCCAAGGAGTTTGGCTTAGTAGGAGGAGAAGGCAACCAAAGGGTTTTACCACCCAAGAGGTTGCGAGTTTGAATCTCACAAAAGCTAAATATCCCAAACCTTGGGGTCATTAGAGTTTTGCCTAGTCGTTAACTTTAGGGGTCCCAGGATAAGTCAAGCATGTAAGTTGGTCCGGGCGCCAGGTTATCAAAAAAAATAAAAATAAATAAGTAAATAAATAAAATATTCTTTTATAGGTACCACTTTCCACATTAATTGTCTATACTTTTCCCAAACACATAAACACCTTTCCCATAAATGCAAACACATTGTTATGAACAATATATACATAGATGCTACACAATAGAGTGTCTGTGGTCTGTCTTTATAAAAAAAGATCCCTCTGTTTTGAAAGCTATTATATTTTTAAAGTGTGTGCTAGTGTAGAGAGAGAGAGAGAGGTGTACTGTGTATGTGTGTAGTAATATATCAATAGAAATTCGACTAGTTTTTGATTGTTTTACAAATGTTTTTAAAAATCTATTTCATGTCTTGCTTGGTTTGTTTCATAGCTTGAACTTTACACATAACAACATAGCAGCCTTGTCCCAATCATTGTTATTCATACACATCTTTTGTTTGGTGTTCCAGTGTTTGGGGTTCCAGTGCTCCTATTACTCAATAACAATTGCACTTTTTATTAAATAATGTGGCATTATTTATATATATAATTAAAAGAACAAAGATCAAATTATTCTTTTCCTAGGTTTGTTCTTGGTATCTATCCAGTCATATTCTATACAAAATCTATGTAATTGTGTTGCAAGTACCTTATTAGAATGGGCAGATATAGATGAGTGAGGAAGAGATCGTTTATCATCTTTCCAGGTTTTTTCCCCCCCCATGAAGTTCTTGGTAGTACCAGAAAAAGTAAAAATAAATAAAATAAAAAGGAATATTTTTAATATCATCCACTCTAATACTATAATTCATTCATTTTTGTATTTTTGTGAAATCAGGAGGCGGAAGCAGCAGCACTCGCCGCAACAGAAGTTGCCTTCATGATACAAGGAGCGCAACGTCGGGGTTTGCAGTTCACAATAGCACCAGGACCAGTAGGACCGGTACCGGCAGCGACACCAGGATCAGTAATGACACCAGGACAGGCAGTGAGTCCCCATGAGTAGCCGGTTCTATAATATAAGGTTTTCCTGAACACGGGTAATTTTGAAAATTGAGGTGATCATGTTACTAAATAAATTATCAGTGAAACAAAATTAGGATGTATTTCCGCCTGTCAAGTTGTGTCTTGGCTCGACTTAATTAATTTCCATAAAAGCTTAAAACTTTGTTCTATGTTCTTCCTGTTTTCATTCTCTTGTTCCCCTCATTGTTGTTGTACATAAAATATTGTGAATCAGAGCAGCATCTGTTGGCAGAGTTGTCGATATTTGACACTGTAAACTGTACACGGCTTCTCTCCGGTGGCATTGCCATGCACTGTTTGTTGTAGTTATCTTGAATTATGGATTCAATATGATCAACTTTTGCTATATATTAAACATTGCTACAGTTTAATGATCAATTTTTATAATTCTCACAGACAAGGGTATTTTGTTCAGGTTATGGAGCTACTTATAGCAAATTTTTTTTTTTTTTTTTGAAATTATGTGTCAAAATGTTTGGCACAATTTTTGCTTACAAGAAGTAAAAATAACTTAATTAAGTTGAAAAAATATGATTATTGGGAGGGAGAGATGTGTTTTTAACTTAAGCTTTTTAATTTACAGCTTACTGAACAGGCCCAATGTCTGTGAGTAAGTAGGATGAGAAAAAGTTTATCTTGATCCCAAATTTTTGGTATTACATTGTTTTTTTCTTTGTTTTGTTTTGTTTTTTATTTTATTTATGAGATAACTATTGGGAAATCTATGACACCAAGGTTGAATGGCTATGGTAAAACAATCTCAGGCATGCATGGCCTTTTATGATGTGTAATTGTAAGAGATCCTTCAGATTTAAAGTTCAAATTTTAATGGTGAAGGGCGATATTGGAAAGTAACAGTTCACATGTTTCTTTTTACTTTAATAATATAGTGCTTAAAAAGGGATGTAATTAGTTAGATGTTTGAAGAAAGAGGTCTCTCTCTCTCTCAAACTATGCTTGAAGAAATTTTGTAGATGTTGGTTAAGAAAAATTATTCATTGGTCTCAGAGCATGTCCATGACAGGTGTGCGTGATATTTTTGATCAATAAGACTGTAAAAACAAATGGATAAGATTGATCTTGTAGCTCACCTAACTGGTAAAATTGATTTAGGTTAACTCTATTCATTTTGTAATGGCTCTTCTTATTGGTTCATTAAATTAAAATGAATGGATAAGATTGACCTAATTTTTCACTTGATTGATAAAGTTGGGTTAGGTCAGTTCTATCCATTCTACAATGAATGTTCTTATTGGTTTATTAAATTAAAATAAATGGATATGACTGACCTCATCTCTCACTTTTACTAAACCGATGAAATTAAGTCAAGTTGACTTTATTCATTTTACAACAATTACTTTTAGTAATAACTGCTCTTATCGATTTATTAAAATAGGAAAATGCTATGGTGTGCACCATACCACAAAATGTGTAATTTTATTACAAAATTTTATAACATTGACCACAAAATACGTAAACTCGCCACAAAATGTGTAACCTCGCCACAAATTGACATAACAAAATGTCCACAATTTTGTGATTAATGTTGCAAAAATTTATGACTTAGTTACTATATTTTTTGTTACGCTAATTTGTGGTGAAATTATATATTTTTTTGTATTGATATTATAAAATTTTATATTTTATGATAGAGTGCACAGGGTGTCCACCCATAGTACAACCCATTAAAATAGCGTATTGAGTTAGTGATTTGAGACTACACTATATTTATTGAAACGACCCAAAAAGAAAGGAAAAAAGAAAGATGGTCTACATGGGTAAGAGAGAAAATAAGAAGGGGCGATAAAAGGAAGAGAAGGGGACATAAAAATGGGAAAACCTGTTGGGGCTCTAAGTTGAAACTTTGAATGGGCTGCAAATCTAGAGAGAGATCAAAGAAAAGCATAAAGGAAACCCAATAAGCACAAGAAACCAAGAGATTGATTTTTATCGCATGGAGATAAGAGCTTGGAATGTCTAAAGTGAGTTTCTAAGCATAATAGCATAAAGCAAGTTTTCTTGGTTTTTCTTTGGGAAGAGGTTTCTATTCCTCACCTTCATCCCCAACACTACTCTCTACTTTATCTGGCTTTCTTGCAAGCCTTGCAAAACCAGTCATTTGTGTTACTTTCCCTGAATTTTTATTAATTTTCATTGCTTCCTCAGCTTTAGCAATATGAAAATTTTCTTGGCAAACAAACACAAAACATGAGACGATGAAAATAATCATTATACATATATTTTTTTAAGATGACGAGCAACAGAGGCAAGATTCTTTAAATTCATTTTAGCAGAGTAAATCAGATATCTATTATCATCTATAAACCACAGGTCTTAGTTATGCCCGGGAGACACCAGTACAAGTTATTATACATAATTTTTGTACGACACAAAAAAGGAGTACAAAATGTTATAACCGTGACAATTTTGCAATTCTTGTGACAAACACAAACATAATGGGTAACAACAAACTAAAGGCATGATTTGTTGTTATGGTTAAGCTAAGGCGAATGTGTTGAAGTTAAAAGAACACGTGAGTATAATTGGACGCGTGGAGGTTCACTTAAGAATCTTATAACGAGTCTATTTTGTTCACTCTCATATTATATTAAGTGAAATCGACAAGAGATTGGTAATATTCTCTCACATAAAAGTGGATTCTTGAGACTGGGTTGGTCATTGTTTGGTTCAAAAGAGCAAGACCAATGATAGAGATGTAGAGAACCAATGAAAAAGATTCTTGGCTTCCCAAGGGTGTTCTTCCAAACAAAACTTTTTATTCAAACCTGTCACTGCCTTCTAAAAACAGCCTTAGATGCTTCCACTGCAGTCTTATGATTGAGGTGAATCTGAAACTTCCCTACATGTTTTGGGACCCCTCTCATGCTTTATCCTTTTTTTGTTCAAATCCCATAAAAAGATACAAACCATACCCTTATTTATACACAACAGAATATAAAGTTAGTCTCAAAAACAACCAACCTACTCAATTCTCTGATTATTGAGCCACAGAGACCTCCATTCCTCTTGTTTGGCAGGGTAGATAATGGGGTTTTCCTGTAGGACAGTCATGTTTCTTCTCTGTATTGGGTTTCTGTCAATTCAACCAGAGAGAGTTTCCAGCTTGAGAAGCATAGATCTTGCTCTCAGATGGGATAAAGGTCCTCTGTTTCCAAGAAACTGGCGTATTCTGAATTCTGTTGGCGTGGAGGTTCGACAAAGAATGCCGAACTTAGCGCCCACGCCTTCAATGGCATTCGATCCAAACCAGTCGAGTAAAAGAACGGTTCGGAGAGGGTCAGATCCCATTCACAACAGAAGTTAATGAACTGAAGCTGTTTTTTCGACCGTAGAGCCTGAAATCGGGAACAGTTAATGGCAAAGAAAGACATTGCTGTCATTGATGCAGAGAGATATACCTGAGGGTGGTTGGTTTTTCTATAGTTTCATTTGTTTGATGTTGAAGCTTTTGTTTTTTTTTGAAAGAATTGAAGAGTGGTAGATTAAACCTATCTTTGAGCTTAGCATCATCACATGATTGTATAAACATACATTTTAGCTCCTAGCTAGCTAACAGCTGATAATGATGATGGCTCTCATACACAACATATAGTACATTTTATTTTTCTTTTGAGCAAAATGATTTATATCTTTTAGCAATGAAAACTCCCAAATCTGAGTCTTGTGCGTCAATTAGGTAAGGTTGGCTAAATGAATTATTTTGTTCCATTCCGCTCTATTAAGGACTATATGTTTAATTTCTTGCATACTTCAACAATGACATATAAATTTAATTGGGCTGGTTTTCTAGAAGTGATTCCTATCTTGCTTCAGTCTGTTTTTGTATTCTTGGGTTCATTCTCAAGTTAGTATAATTTACCTTCAAGGCTTGTATAATGTGTGACATCCTGTCCCATATCAGCTTGGTAGTAAAAGTTTTTGGGTTATATATATGTGAGTTCACATCCTTTCTTAGTAACAACACATTTAAAAACTGTGAGGGTGGACAATATTGTTACATTTTGGGATGAGGACGTTATAATTTGGTATTAGAGTGGAACCTACCTTTAGCTGTGTGGGCCATACATTGCAGGAGCCACCTCTAGAATTTGTATAGGTCACCTCCCTAGAAAGAGCAAAATGTTGTGCACAGCTAAGTGCTATACTACACACCGCACGAGGACACATGGTTCTGAGGAGGGATGTATGTCCCCGAGGACGTGTGGTTCTGACATCCCACCCCACATCAGTGTCTAGCAAAGTGGACTATATTGTTACGGTTTCGGGGATGTGTGGCTCTGATATCCCACCCCATATCGGTGTCTAGCAAAGTGGACTATATTGTTACAGTTTCGGATGAAGACTGAGATAGCTATCCGTAGATGCAGTTTTTAATAATAGTTCCAATTGGTAGCTCGAAAACAAGACGGCTCGAATGGCCCGAGTTCAAAACAACATCGTTTTGGTATTTATTTATTTATTTATTTTTTCTCTCTTTCCTCTTTGAAGATGAAGAACACAGAGAAGAGAAAGCTGGGTGTTCATCTTCATCAACATCTTCATCAACACATCATCATCATCAACATCATCATCATCATCATCAACAACATCTTCATCGACATCATCATCATCATCATCAAACACATCATCATCATCAACAACATCTTCATCAACATCATCATCATCATCAACAACATCATCATCATCAACATCCATCAATTTTGTGAAATCCATATCTATCGATTTCAATCGATTTCAAACCCTGAAAAAAGAAGAAGAAGAAGAAGAAGAAGAAGAAGAAGAAGAAGAAACTCAGTCTCTGGTGGAGCTCTCTCTCTTCTCTCTCTTTCTTCTCGCTTCCTCTCTCTTCTCTCTCTTTCTTTTTCTCTTCCTCTCTCTTCTCTCTCTTTCTTTTTCTCTTCCTCTCTCTCTCTCTTCCTCTGTTTTCAGAGACATAATAGGGGGAAAAAAAAAAAAAAAACACTGCCCAAAACGACGTCGTTTTGGGTAGTCAGGCCATTTGACCAGAAAGATTTTCGAGCTACGAACCATTTTTCTTTTAATAATTTTGTAAAGGTTAGATGGAACTACTGTTTGACAGAATTCTTTTAAACCATAATCCTCTATGGACTGTGCAGGCGAGCGCGCAAAAAAAAAAAAAAAAAAAAAAAAAAAAAAAAAAAAAAAAAAAAAAAAAAAAAACAAAACAAAACAAAACAAAACAAAACAAAAAAATCAAAAGTGAAACTACAAGTGACACAAGAAAAGTTTGACACAAACAAAAAACAAACATATTTTTATCAAAACTAAGCTTATTTCTTTTGAAGAACCCACAAAACAACCAGATTTCCAATGATCTTCATAAAAATAAAATACAAGAAATTCCAAATATGTATATAATATATTCAATTTGTCTTAACAAGAAGCTGAGATCTATGATACCTGTTGTTCCTATGAACATTAAATTGAGTTGATGACAACTTACGTGAAACTGCCTGCCAAATCATATCCACAGCATCACCAGGCTGAGATGGATACTGATATTCAAAGTGTTGTGCAATCTGCTTTAATCTTTCCCACATTTCGCTCCACTTGTCTCGATCGATTCCCCTTAGAAGATTCACTAGAAAACCATTCTTTACGGCATCTGAAGCGCGTACAAATACGCAGAACTCAGAGTAGTCTAAGACATCTTCATATGGTAGCTCGATCTCATCGCTAATTATTACAGGAACACAATGGCTAGCGATGGCATCAAAGAGGCGATTTGAGGAAGGAGTGTCGCCAGCAATATTCAGGCAGAATTTGGATGATGACATCCCCTGTCCTGCTCGACTGATTCCATTTGCTTGAACGCTTCCAAATGTGAAGTGGACATCTTTCTCATCTTTGAGAAGGTAATATAGTTCTTGACGAATTATTCCCCCCTGATGATTAATCAAATCGCATATGATAATTAGAATGATTGATACAAAGCAAACAGATCTATCATCAGCAAAAACTAAAATTAAGAATTTTCCTACAAAGTGTTTCAATGAACTAAAAGGAAAAAGAAAAAAGAAAAAAGAAAAAAGAAAAAAAGATGAAAGTTGGAAAAAGTTCAAGATTGATGCAAGGGGGCATAAGAAATTCAATAGAACTAGTGATTGCATATATATTTTATGAGAATTCTTCAGTTTTCTATATTTGAAATTGATTTATCACTGTCTCATCCACTATGTGTATGGAGGGAGTCCTTCAAAGGATGAATTTATGACTTCAATAACTCGGAAAACAAATTGAAATATCATCATTTACTTGTGGTTGAATGCTTCTAAGTCTGTAATTGAATACTTTGCAGACTATCCCATTTGTAAAAGTTGTAATCAAATCTAGCAAGCCATGATGTAACGAAACAATTATACCCGTCTCTACTGTATAAAAATTTAGTTGACATTATGTTCCTGACCAAATATATATTGGTACTAAAAAAATTTCAACATCAAAGAACTTGAGCCTAAACCAAGTTATCAAAGGTCTTTTACTAATTTTTTATTTTTGTTTTTAATTTTATCTATAATTTTAATTTTTTTCCTGGGTGATTAGGAAGAAAATAATGTTGTTAGCTGTTACCCTATGGGTTATAACCTGCATGCTTAGGAGGTTAAGCTTTGAGCCCACTAACAAGTTTTAGGGGAATCATCGCCTGCCATGCAGGTTAGTCCTCTGTCTTCTTTTCAATTATTCTCTATGTAAGATTAAAAAGTTCAGAGAAACTTTTGTAAATGTTGAGAGGTTTCTGGCATTTTTTATTTTACATTCACATTTACTGTATGGGGCCTTTTACAGATGTGGGTAGGTACATTGCCGAATCACATATAGTAAATATTCTTGCATTCTGTGTGTTTGATTTCTTTCTTTTTAATGTTTTGTGATTGGAACCATTTGATTTTTGGATTACAATAAAAAAGAGAAAACAATCCTGTGTTCTTCCTTTTGGATAGGATAATTAATTAGAGTTTCACAGTAGCATCCATGAACATCAATTTAGGCTGAAATGACCTACTTAGTATTGAATCACTGTTTCATCTGAATTCCAATAAGCGATAAACTCAGAGAAACATATAACCTTTTGCATACAACTTTTTTTTAAGAGAAAAAAGTAGAAATAACACATCATTGAACAATAATCAAGTAATTCATGATACGTGCAGAAACAGTAGATGCAACTTACGTCTTTCCTATAAACTGCTCCTTGGAAATGTGCCAATATAGGACGCCCTTCAAATGGGGCCGACTTGTTAGCAGCAACGGTCTTCACGAGATGCTTGTAAGGAGCGATCACGTCCTTTTTAAGGTTTGCTATTTCTGCTGGGTATCTCCCAAAATCTGCAAGAATGAACATGGCAGAACCCAACTTCCTTCTCGCAATCAACATACTATTTGGATGGTGTGCTACTATTAGATGATCCTTCCCTCCCAATCGCTTCCATTCATCCCGACGTTTCAAAAACTCCACCAATTTGTTCTCCAACATTCTGTTGACACTAACTTTCTCCTTTCCAACAAGCTTAGAATACCTATTATAACTCAGAGATGCGAAGAATGGCACAAAAATTATATCTGCTTGGCTCAAATTATGCACTCTGATAGCACTACATGGTCTGACCCTATTTGGAGTGTTTGATGACAGAAGATCAAGGGTGAGCCAGTACTCGATGCTGTGCTGTAAATTTAAACCACCCGGGTAATGAGGGATTTGACTAGGGTTACTCAAATCTGGCCATGTTTGATCTGCACTTCCTTTCCAACCCAATAACCCAAAGTGAAATTGAGGAGGCAAGTCATACATATACACCCGAAGGAGAGCGTGATTCGGGTCACAAGTCTTTTCTTCTTCTTCTCCCAAGGCACCCAATTTTATGCTGCGATTGGAACTCTGATAAGACTGCTCTTGGGTTCTCATGGGTTGGTCATCATAAATTGTTGCAGCCGCAGAAGAGAAGAAAGGGGGTTTAATTTTTTCACCCCTGACGCTAGGTTTTAAGTAAACTGATGTGTTGTTAACAACAATTATCTTAAAAACCGATCCAGATATGAAAGAATCGTCTCTGAATTGAAGAAGAAACAATGAAGAGAAGATCAAAAGAACCATTGAAAACATTATTAAGCAGAAAAGTAGCCTCGAGGGCATTATTAGGCCCTTTTCTGACATTGAAGATTGAATAAATTTAGAACCTCTTTTACTTCCAGAAGATTTAAGAAAGCTGCAGCCTGCAACAAATTATTACACTAGAACAATGTTTTGAAACCTGAACCATTAGCCAAACCGGAAAAGAGACTGGGTAAAGGGTCACTGGTTCAACCGTCAGATTAACCGGAATTGAACAAAGGGCAAAGTTATGGGGTTCTAGCTGTTTATGGTTTAGGTTCAACCGTCGGATTAACCAAAATTGAAGAAAGGGAAAAATTTTGGGGTTTTTTTTTAGCTGTTTGTTACATCAATCAATGTGAGTGATCATTTAAAGAAGATGTTACTAACTCAATATCATTAAAATGAATAGTTTAATTTTGACAAACATCAAAAGGGCAAAAACAGATTCCCAAGTTTTCTAACTTTTTAAACCCTAAAGGTTTGAAACCGTATTTTCCAAGTAATTCTTTGTCACAATCTTTCCCTTCACAAACACCAGTACACCATTATCAACCTGCAATAATCAGCAGAGAAAAGAACACAAATATAAACAATCCCTTTAGCTCATAAGAAACATAAGAAACGTATGTTTTACAACTTTGAGCTATTAAGCTACAAGATAAATTCAAGAAAATCTCAATCAAGAACCAAAAAAAAAAAAAAAAAAAACAAACAAACAAACAAACAAACAAGAGCAATGAACATATATCAGAAAAATCATCAACTGGGTTTTGAAGATTTTGTGATTTTCAAAATTGGGTTGAATCAGGGTTTGCAAGAAGATTACCGGAGCAGCTTGGATTCTGAGATTCTCTACCTTTTCTTAGACTGTGAATGACTCAGCTGGAGGAATGTCTGGGCAGAGAGCACAAGGGGGTCTCTCTGATCGAACTATTTCTGTTCTTCAATGCATTTACCATTAATATTGATATTTTTGTATATATATAATTATTTTTTTTCGATTCATCGTTGTCCATGAATTGGACAAGAGAGAGGAGAGGAGAGGAGAGGAGAGAGACTTCATATTTACGAATTTTTTTTTTTTTAAAGATTTTAGATCAAAAAATATTGAAAAAATTATTATAAAACGTTGAGGATTTGAGTCTTATTATAAAACGAGTTTTAGTTTTATCAATTTAAAAGTTAAACTTTTGATTTATTTTTAATATATAATTTATTTATTTACTTTTATTAAGTAAAATTGATAAAAAAATAAATATTTTAATAATTAAATTTAATAAAAATGATATTTTAGACATTTTCATATTAAATTTAATAATTAAAATATATACTTTTTTTATCGATTCCATTTAACAAAAATAGGATAGTGTTTAAATTAAAAACAAATCAAAAGATTGACAAAATTAAAATATCAAATTTTATTTTGTTACAAAGTTAGAACTATGGTTTTTTTTTTGTAATTATTCCAAAAATATTTTTAAAATTGAAAGGTTTACCTCTTACAGCTGTTGGTGTATTAGTAATTTAAATAATTTAATTTATACAATTTATCGAGTACGTCATCTATTAAAAAAAGTAAGTTAGTTAGACTTGACCAACTACATGGCCAATTGACGTTTCTTTTAAAAAAAATAAACAAAAGAAATATAATTTTAAAAATAATTCGTCAATTTCATTTTTTATACAAATATTAATTGATCATGTGATTATTGATATTTGATCAATTTAATTTTGGATAAATTACTAATAGGTCTTAATAGTTGTATTTAATTCCCATCAAGTTCTATTGAAAATAAGTCTAGTAAAATCATTGCTAAAAATAATTTTTGTAATGATTTTTTATATATGTCGCTAAAAATTAATAATTAGTGGTTTTTTTGCTACAATTTTTATAAATTATTATTAAAATTTATAATTACTGACTTTTTTTGTGACGAATTTTTCAAGTTAAAAATTAATAATATTTTTTTGTGACAATTTTTTTAAATTATCATTAAAACTTATAATTAGTGACATTTTTTGTGACAAAATTTTCAAACTATAACTAACATTTCTTTTAAAAAAAATAAACAAAAGAAATATAATTTTAAAAATAATTCGTCAATTTCATTTTTATACAAATATTAATTGATCATGTGATTATTGATATTTGATCAATTTAATTTTGAGTAAATTACTAATAGGTCTTAATAGTTGTATTTAATTCCCATCAAGTTCTATTGAAAATAAATCTAGTAAAATCATTGCTAAAAATAATTTTTGTAATGATTTTTTATATATGTCGCTAAAAATTAATAATTAGTGGTTTTTTTGCTACGATTTTTATAAATTATTATTAAAATTTATAATTACTGACTTTTTTTGTGACGAATTTTTCAAGTTAAAAATTAATAATATTTTTTTGTGACAATTTTTTTAAATTATCATTAAAACTTATAATTAGTGACATTTTTTGTGACAAAATTTTCAAACTATAACTAAAAATTAATAATTAATGACTTTGTTTAATAGTATATGATGAAAAATACTATTAATTTTCACAGAACTTATTAGACAATAAATTTACCTATTAAAACCTACATATAAATTCCTTTTTAATTTTTTTATATATATGATCTAATTAATGAATCCTATAATTTCAACAACTTAGATTGTTGAGATGAGCCTAAGGTGGCTCACACAGTCATGTGAGAATTGCCTCCCCCAATCCAAAACATGAAACAGAGACAAGCTTCTTTCTTCGGAAAAAAATGACATATTAGAAATTTTTTGTAATATAACAGTTATATTTTAATATTCTATGACAAATTATCATGTAAATATAATATCTCACTATATAAAAATAAGAGTTGTAGAATTATCTTACAATGGACGGATAATTACATGGAAAACTGTCAACAACAATGGTAAGGTATTATGAAATTAAATTTTTATTCGATATATTTAATTGCTCTAAATCCAAAAACAAACTGAAAATAATGATTTTTTAGGAAAAATCTTTATTATAAATGCAATGTGCAACTTATTAATTAGGTGTTACTTGAATTTCTTTTTCTTTTCACAAGTGATTGACCTCTGAATTAATCTCACCTATTTAATGAGGCAGTTGTTGGGCCATACATTACAGTGACCAGAACTTCAATGATTGGATTCCAATGTCTTCCTTTTATTTTTTTTGTTATCTCTCTCTCTCTCTCTCTCTCTCTCTCACACACACACACATATAAGTATAAATTACACTGACACATTCTGAGATTTATATTTATTATAGTTTTTTCCTCACTTTTAAAAATTACATATCCCCCTGAGGTTTAAAGTTTCATTACAGATTCTCCCCTCAGCAATTTAATTTTTTTAAATATCAATTTTGCCCTCACTAGATAAATTACATTGACACCCCTCACATTTTAAAAATTACAATCTCCTCCCTAAGGTTTAATGTACCATTACCAATTACCCCCTTGGTTAGTATTAGTTGGGAAAAAATTAATTGGAAAAAAAATTATTTGAAAATTATTTTTGTTAGTAAAATTTTTAAATTTCTATTTAAAAACTAACATAAACTCATTTTTTGAATTTATGTTTTTTTCTTAAATTTACAAACTGAGACAACCATTTATAAACCAAAAAAATTATCAAACAAGTTTTTATGACAGTTTTTAAAATTTTTGTAAATGAAAATTGAAAACTGAAAACGAAATGATTACCAAACAGGTTTCAGATTGTAAAAATGTCATAAAATTAACAAATAATTAAATAAGTTATTAACGTAAGAAATGACTTATCAAAAGATTTTTAGGCTATGTATGGTTTGATTTTTAAAAATATTTTGTAAAAATTAAAAATTAAAAATTAATTTGGTTAAGAAATAAAAAATAAAAAATAATTATCATTTTAATATAATTTTTATCTTTCGAATGGTTAGAAATAATTTTTTACAAATTAAATTCAAACAGCTATACGTATGTATATAATCTATCCAAAAGTTAAAATGATAATCATTTTTAATTAATTTTTAATTTTTTTTAAAAAAAATTCTAAAGATCAAACCATACATAATAACGTAAGAATCTTTTGATAAGTCATTTCTTATATTGGTAACTTATTTAATTATTTGTTAATTTTACTTTTTACCATCTGAGGTCTGTTTGGTAACCATTTCGTTTTTAATTTTCAATATATATTTACAAAAATTTAAAAAACTGTCATAAAAACTTGTTTGATAATTTTTTTAGTTTATAAATGGTTGTCTCAGTTTGTAAATTTGAAAAAAAAACATAAATTCAAAAAATGATTTTACGTTGATTTTTAAACAAAAATTTAAAAATTTTACTGACAATTTTTTTTTAATTAATTTTTTTTCCAATTAATTTTTTTTTCAATGAATTTTTTTTTCAACTAATACTAATTGAGGGGGCAATTGGTAATGCTACTTTAAACATTGGAGAGGGGATTGTAATTTCTAAAATGTGAGGAGTGTCAATGTAATTTACCCAATGAAAGCAAAAGTGGTATTTAAAAAAATTAAATTGCTAAAGGAGAGAATCTGTAATGAAACTTTAAACCTCGAGAGAAAGATATAATTTTCAAAAGATGAGGGAGAACTGTAATAAACATAAATCTCAAGGAGTGTCAGCGTAATTTATCCTATATAAAAAGAAAGAAAAGGAATGGGATATTCTAAGAAGTACCTTAACCTAATAAGTTATTATTATTATTATTTATTTTCCATATTAAAGATGATGGAATTATAGGCAGTGGCTTGCCTCCGGTTCGGCCTATTGGGCTTATTTTGGGGTCTCTTTTTGATAATTCAAACTGTTTATATTTTAAAATTTGTTGGATACATTATCCCTGTAAAAAAATCACGTCAATCAGATAATGAATATTATGTATTCGGATCATCTTTTTATGAATCGTTAATTTTCTGACCGTTTATTTTTTTAGACAAAAATGATCTGAATACATAGTATCCATTATCCGATTGATGTGATTTTTTATATGAATAATGTACTCAACAGACCTTAAAATATGAACGGATCGAATTATTAAAAAAAAACTCAAAAGTGAGCCTAATGAGCCGAATTGGACCGGACTGTCCGATATCTAAGCTGGAGAAAGTCTAGGCCCGGAATTATATACTGTATAAGATTATTATAATATGTCTAGTTAAGGTGTGATTAAGAATAAAATAAAATTTTAAAAATTATTTGACCATTTAGTAGGTATTAAAAAGTAATCCAAAAGGGGATTATTAATATGGAGTGGGATAAATAATTCTATTATTTTATAAAGGCTTCGTTTGAGAAGTTGTTATTTTAGTAGGTTATTTTAGTTTTTGACTATTTTAATAGGCTAAAATTTTTATGTTTGGGAAGATGATTGGATTTTTTTGTGGTTGGATGTGATGTTTGTGAGAAAAAAAAGTGAAATGATTATGAATTTAATGTGATATTTTGTCTTATTAGCTATTTTAGCCTATTTTGTCTTTTTGTGAATTTTAGCCTAAACTAGGCTATTTTTTTTCTTGCCAAACACGCCCAAAATTAGTAGTTCGATCCAACCAATAAGGAAAATGTTTGGGACTTCTTTTTGGGGAGATCCCCTACCACCCTCACAGTAATGTAGACCAATGATATATTTGTATTATTATAATTATTATTTTTTTTTTTTCTTATTTGAACCAATCACAAGTGAGTGGAGATTGTAGGGGTGAGGTTTTATAGAGGTCTAAATCATTAGTGAACCAATAATTTGGCTCATCAGATTAGATTTACAATCATGAGACATTGTTCTTGACATTGTGAATCACATATATCTATACTATTATAAAGTGAACACATAAGATGACTCATACCACTTAAGCTAAGTACATATTATATTATTAATTTCATTATTATTTTCTTTTATTCCTATTTATTTAATTTGTACGCACATCGTGTGTGTCCAAGTTTTATACGAGACAAAAGTTGATCGTTATCTCATACAAGACGCGCTAGACTGAAGGTTATTAGTGTAAAATAAGTTAGGTTTTTTTTTGTTTGTTTGTTTGTTTATTATAAAAA